TATTTTATTGGAATTCAAAAGCTGGTTCTTTAAAAAAACACACAACTGATGAAATTAATCTTTGATGGACCTGATTAAGGAAATAATGAGAAAGCACAAATACACATTTAGCAATGTGAAAGGAGATATAAGAAAAATGTATAAGAGAATTAACTATGACATTATGATAATCAGTTTGAAACTCTATAGCAGGGTTGGCAAGCCATAGCCTGTGCAAGCTACATCTGCCCAACACCTGTTGGGATAGTTTCATTGGAATACAGCCATACTCACTTGATACATACTGTCTAAGGCTCTTCTGCATGACAGTGGCAGAGTCGAGCAGTTGTGAGAGAGCATTGATGATCCACAAAACCTAAAATATGTACTGTATGGCCTCTTACAGAAAGGGTTTGCTGGAGGAAATGATTTCCTAGAGAAAAAGAGACCGCAATTGACCCCCAAAGTGCTGGACTAGCTAAATAACCATTGAAGAGATTGGAAAGGTTATTAGTGATCTTAAGAAGGCTCCAACCAGAGAACTGAGTTCTGAGTTCATTAATCTTTGAAGGGCAGGTAATTTTCTTGCTCTCTGATTATTTCAGACCATGGAAGAAGATAGAAAAGTCTTCCAAATGACATTATTAAACTATTAATGCAGTCGTCTTTTAAAGAAACCTTGCTCTTGAAAGTTATTGTTACTGAGGTTTTTGCAGTGATTTGTATTGTTAACGCAGTGATACTGACTCTGGTACCATAGCTTCTAATGATTGAGCACACGCCTGTCTCAATGAGGGCAGCAGCGTTTATGTGACAGAATTAACTGATCCCTTGACCACACAGTTCCCTACTCAGTGTCATCTTAATACTATTTGTAGACATTTACATTAGTTCCATTTCTGTGTTATAGAAGCACCTTCATTACTAAGAAAGATTGAGTGTGAGTGAGAGAGTGAGAGAGAGAGAGAGAGAGAGAGAGAGAGAGAGAGAGAGTGTGTGTGTGTGTGTGTGTATTTATTTGTACGTACACATTTCTTAATCTTAGTCTGCCAGGCCTGACAGAGGACAGATATAGTCTCTTCATTTCTGTGCATTAAAACAATAGTTAAAACTAGTTGTACTAAGGGACATTGTAGTGTTACTGTACTTTCAGATATCTCTCTTTATTACTTTGTGAGCAGCAACACTCCCCACTTGGAGATGTAGATAATGTGATGGTGTTGAATTGTACAAATCCAATGTCCACAGTAGCATCATGTTAGCAACATGGTCAGCTGAGTGTAGTGATTCCCAAGATCTGAGTTGGGGGTTCTCCAATCAGGTTCAGTGATTTGCTGAATTCAGAGAAGCGGTTGCACTCCTGGCTACAGCTTATTTCAGAGAGAGGATACCGATTAAAATTCATGGAAAAGGCACGTAGGGAAGGATCCAGGAGACACCAGCTCAAGCTTTCAATTGTCCTCTTCCCATGGCGTTGGGTGGGCACTGTATAATTTTCCCAGAAACAATGTGTGGAAGTTCTCAAGGAGTGTGCCAACCTGGGAAGCTCACTGGAGTCCTGGTGTCCAGGCTTTTATTGGGGAGCAGTCATGTAGGCGTGGCTGACCTTAATGTCCAGCTCCTTCAGAGATCAAACTGATACCACGTAGCCCAAGGCCCCCACCGTGGGCCACATCGTTAGCATAAACTATCTGGGGCAGTCCAAGGCTTCAGGTAAACAAATACATTCTTAAGAAGCAGGATGTCCCAAGAGCTTAGGTATCACCTCCCAGGTGCCAGAAGGGCCAAACCTTTCCCTGACGTGCAGGGTTTGGACATCCCACACATGCTGAGTTAATTCTTCACTGCATATCACTACGTATCAAATCCCTCACACATGCGCGTACTCTCTCTACCAACAAATGTTTAAAAGACATGCATATCCCATTTTACCCATTCAACAATGAACTTTCCCGCTATCCATTTTTTGAGTGGAGAAAAAGTTCTCTCGGGAAGGTCATATTCAAGTCACATTTGGAATAGATCAAATATAGACTTACACGGGATTTACCTTTAGGCTTCAGAAGGTAAGCCTGAGTTGCATCACTTCTTTTGTGCAAGGGTATTTGTCCTCTAAGTTCCTGTTGTCCTGTGCATGGAAAATTGCGTAATAATACATGGAGTCACCATCTTTCTATGGGTTAGATGTGGTCAAGGGTCAGAATGTTTTGTCTCCTGGTAGACACTCTGTTTGTTAGGTTATAAAAGATTTTAAAAAAAAAAATGCACATCTCAGGTTCCAAGAAATTGTTCATTGGGTTTTAGGAATCAGAGCAGTTTTGAGTTTTCTGTTTGGCTCAGATGCTGGATGACTTCAGAAGTGATGCTGACTTGACTTGGAATCATGAACACACAATGCAATATACAGATGATGTATTACAGAATTGTATATCTGAAACCTATATAATTTTATTAGCCAACTAGAGGCCCAGTGCACGGATTTGTGCACTCGTGGGGCTCCTCAGCCTGGCTTGCACCCTCTCCCAATCTGGGACCCCTTGGGAGGTGTTGGACTGCCAGTTTCGTCCTGATTGCTTTCAGGGATTGGCCTAAACCAGCAATCTGACATCCCTGGAAGGATGTAGTAGTGCACAACGCAGGTGGTCAGGGAGGAGCCCGAGCTGGGCACTGCGCCGCTCCCGCTCATCCCGGTCCTGCTGCACCTGCTGCAGCTGCCTCTTGGTAGCACTGCAGCAGAGGTGGGAGAGGCTCATGCAGCTGCAGTCGCAGCTGCAGCTGCGCTCACCAGCCGTGAGCCTGGCATCTGGCACCTGCTGAGCAGTGCTCCCGCTGTGGGAGTGCACTGACCACCAGGGGGCAGCTCCTGCATTGACAGCCTGCCTCCTGGTGGTCAGTACCTGTCATCGTGACCGGTCATTCGGTTGTTTGGTTGCTTAGGCTTTTAGATATAGATGTCACCCAATAAATTCAATTGAAAAGAAAAAGAAGTGATGTCGATACTGACTGTGAATGCCTAGATTATGATCTAGACCAGCGGTTTTCAAACTTTTTCATCTCATGGCACACATAAACTACTGAAAGTCAGCACCATACCAAATCTATCCACTGAGCCAAACTGGTTTCGGCTGTAGGACTTTATTTTTAGGTACAAAAAATTCTCTTTGCAGGGATGGGGGAGGCCGGGAGCAACAGATTAATGCTCTCTGTTTGAAGTGGTTAGCATTTCATATTATTTCTTCGTTCTGGTCACCACTGCTCATGTCCAGGTATTACTTTTTGGTCCCATCCTGGGAGCATCGTCTCCACGTAGGTGGTCTAAAAAAATAGGTATAATATTGATTCATTCACACCGGGTGGCTCTTGTTGTGTTGGCTGTTGTCATTTTTTTTTTATTTGACAATTTAAGGGAAAAGAGGTCAGTGTCCCTAATAGTCAAATATTGCATGTTTTAAAAATTCTGTGGCACACCAGTTGAAACTTGCTGAATGAGGCTGTAACCTAAAGTGTCTGGTCTTTGTGAAGATTTTGTCTCAAAAAGCATGCGACACTTAAAATTAAAAAAAAAAATCTTTAGTAGTGGTGGGAAGAAGAAAAAGAAAATTGCCCCCTGAAGAAGAAATTCATTTTTGGTCTGTTATTTTAAGTAAAATATGAGTCACTTATCTGTACACTTCTGAATTTCGTTCTGTTCACTCACCGCAGTGTCTGAGTAGCAGTGTCTTGGTAC